TGGGGTTTTGGGGTTTAGGGTTTAGGGTTTTGGGGTTTGGGGGTTTAGGGGTTTTGGGTTTTTAGGGTTTAGGGGTTTAGGGTTTAGGGTTTTGGGGTTTGGGGGTTTAGGGGTTTTGGAGTGTTGGAGTTTTAGGATTTAGGGTTCAGGGAACCCTCAACCCTACAGAATAAAATCCCAAGCCTAAAAAGCTCTCGCGGCTGTTGTAGCATCTTGTGACTTGCTGGCCTCAATAATAAAGGAGCTCAACAAATCTGTAAGGACTCGGGTTGATGTTCGGGCCCCTGAACTTTGACCATAAACCTTAAACACCAAACCCTAAATCTCAAACTCCTAAACCCTAAACCCTAAATCTTAAACTCCTACACCCTAAACAACTAAAACCCCGAACCGAAACCCTAAACCCTGGCACCCCGAACCCTGATACCAAAAAAACTCAAGTCCCTCTGTTGATCATATAAATCCTGCATGGCACTAAGGGCCCTAGACTATGGGAATTATGGTATATTCCTTATGATGGGCAATGCAGGATTTGTATCATCAACCGTAGCCCCAAAACCCTAAACCCTAAACCCTGAACCCTAAACCCTAAACCCTAAACCCTAAACCCCAACACCCTCAAGTCCCAGCCCCAAAACCCCCGGTTTTTTGCGGGCTCCGACCGGGCCTGTCTTCGATGTGATCAGATCCGGCGCTTTCATGAGCCACCGGATCGCCTCAAGTGGCTCAGGGTGTAGGGTTTAGGGTTTAGGGCTTAAGGTTTAGGGTTTAGGGTGTGGGGTTTAGGGTTTAAGGTTTAGGACTTAGGGCTTGGGGTTTAGGGTTTAGGACTTAGGTTCAGGGGGCCGATGTTTAACAAGGGAGCCTTAACCATCAGAGCAGGGTTCCCTTAAAAGCTTCTTCGACGTGCTCTCTATGGGTTACTATGAGGGATCCAGAGGGGCTCTACGACATAGAGAGGTGTAGCACATCGAAAAGTGGCCTTGGTGTATTATGGTAGCAATTACAAACAGGTACTACAAGCAAACATTGTCTGAAGACCTATGGATTATTGTGTGCACCGCTGGGAGCCACTCTGAGGAAGAGGGCATGAAGGCGAGACTGCCAAGGATGTTGAGGGAAGACCATGATGTGTTAGGGCTTAGCTTAGGGTTGCTGATGGGGAAGATGATAACCATGATCATGACGAGGCCGGTTTTGCGATGTTCGTGGTCAAGCTGTTGGTGACGATGTGGTCCTTGCTGATGCCGATGAGACAGGAAGAAGTTGAAGCGATGGCGATGATAATTGTGACAAGTCTCGTAATATTGCACAGAATGATGAAACCGTAAACTCTAAAACCCTAAACCGTCCATGAATATCCTCATGCTCTTCAAACCCAATGCCTCTCTCATACTTAGTGTCACAAAGCGTGTGCGAGCGTCCGAGCTCATACTATACCTTAACCTACCAGAACCGACATTGTTGTTGTAGGTTCTTCTTGTAAACCCTAACATGGAATTTGTAGGGACCCTACAAAAAAGTAGGTTGTGGTAGGTTAAGGTAGGGTCCTTTTCTTTTTGCACAGGAAACTGGGGTATGTCAGGCTATAGCTGTATTACAGAAACCCAAAAGCAGTATCACTCATTATTCAGGCTTCTACAGGATCTCGGTGGCAAGGTGCAGAAGGTGCAAGCAGGTAAGCATATAGGGTTCATAATAGTTACAAACATGTAGTATGATGATGATAAGGGTCTTTGAGCAAAAACACCACCTAGCAAATAGCCAGGCTTCTGTGCTGAGTCTCATACTGCTCTGCAGGGGTTCTTCAGGAAACGCGTGCCTGAATGGCTCTACGAGCTCAGGCGTTAAAAAAGGGGGCTTAGTAATTAGACTAGGCTTTTGGGGTATAGTGTAGTATAGCTATAACAAGGAGCCCCCCCCAAAAAAAATAGTACAGGTAATTATTGAAGCCTCTACATTCCCTTAAACCCTCACCCCGAATCCTGAAGCCCTAAACCCGTAAACCGTAAACCCTAAACCCCTAAACCCTAAACCCAAAGCCCTACAGCTTCGAAACACACCCTAACCCAGAGGGTACATATAAACTACCATTATGGGTTTAAGTTCCAAAAGACCATAAACCCTAAACCCTAAACCCTAAACCCTAAACCCTATACCCTAAACCCATACATGTGATGGCTTTCGGGACTTATCATTCCATAATGGTAGTCTATTTGGAGCCTCTGGGCCTCGAAGTTCAATCCCCTAAACCCTAAACCCTAAACCGTAAACCCTAGGGTTTAGGGTTTAGGGTTTAGGGTTTAGGGTTTAGGGTCTAGGGTTTAGGGTTTAGGGTCTAGGGTCTAGGGTTTAGGGTTTAGGGTTTAGGTAAACCCACACCCTAAGGCAGCCTTTCTCCAAGCTGCGTTGCGAAGTCTGCGCTTCCTGCGGTCTGGGTATTGAATCGGTCGCAGGCCGACGGCGCAGCAACGAACTGCTCATGTCTGCCGCCTTTAGGGCTTGCCTTTATGGTTTGGGCTTAGGGTTTTGGGGTTTTAAATACGGGTTTTGGGGTTTCAGGGATTGGGGTTTTAGGGTTTGGGTTTTCAGGGTTTGGGGCTTATGGTTTAGAGTTTTCAGGTTTGGGGTTTTAGGGCTTAGGGTTTTATGGTTCGGGGTTCTAGGGTGTGGTTTTAGGGTTTCGGGCTCAAGGGTTTCACCTAAACCCTAAACCCTAAACCCTAAACCCTAAGGGTTTGGGGTGTTAGGGTTTACGGCTTAGCTTCGCTTGTCACGACGACAGAGAGGCAGCCTGCGCGGCACAAATCCACGCTGCGAAGAGGGTTTAGGGGTTTAGGGGTTTAGGGGTTTAGGGTTTAGGGTTTAGGGTTTAGGGTTTAGGGGTTTAGGGTTGGATTTTTGGCTTGAAGTTACTATATGGACCTTGATAATTGGAATAGGATGTTGGGGTCAGTTTGTTAACTATGATAAGGATCCACAGCAAGAACACTGCAAAATATTTGGGCCCACATATCATACTACATGTACAAGTCCACATGACTGCTGCACTCTGAAAAACCCCAAAGGGTCCTCGGTACTGCTATGGGGGATACTCTCCCAAATCACAACAAGTAGTCTGAATGTAGAAAACCCTAGATTCTACCCTAAACCCTCAACCCTAAACCCTAAACCCCTAAACCTTAAACAGGACCCTTTGGGGTAACAGCTGCTTACCTGGGCAGACCCAGGATCAAGCAGCTTTAAACGATGCGCTGTATCTCACCTCGTGATTCCGGTTACCACTCAGGGCCGCCCAGTGTAGGGTTTAGGGTTCAGGGGTTCAGGGTTTAGGGTTTCGGGGCTTAGGGTTTAGGGGTTAGGGGTTTAGGGTTTAGGGGTTTACGGCTTAGGGTTCAGGTTTAGGGGTTTAGGGAACAGGGGTGTAGGGTTGAGGGTGTAGGGTTTAAGGCTTTGGGATTAGGGGTTTTAGGGGTTTAGGGTTTAAGGTTTGGGGTTTAGTGTTTAAGGTTTTTTTTGGTGTTTAAGGTTTAGGGTCTAGGGTCTCGTGATTTAGGGTCTCGTGATTCAGGTTAGCAATCAGGGTCGCGCGATCCCGACCCTTAGGGGGGTGCCTGTAATGTAAAGTGGGTTTTCAAGGGTTCCTTAAAGGGTTCTATAAGGGTACTATAAGAGCTTGTAAGGTTTGGGGTTTAGGGGTTGGGGTTTAGGGCTTAGGGATTTAGGGTTTAGGGCTTAGTGTTTAATGATGGTGCGCCCTTTTCCCTGTAGTTCCATGTAAGCTTTGATATGAAATCCTACTCGATAAACAGTATGATAAACGAGTACTACGGGACATAAGGTAATACCCTTTTGTGTGAACCTTTCTGTACCCTTTTTCCGACCCCTTGGAACCCTGCTACCGATTAACACCCTCCAGAACTATATCCAAAACAACCGACAACCCCCTTTCAAAGCCCAAGAAACTCCCCCGAAACTCTAAACCCTAATTTTAGGATTTAGGGTTTTTACCTGCACTATTTTTGGCGGGCTCCTTATCACAATTATAGCAAAATAGACCCCAAAACCTGTTCTAATTGTTAAGGCGCCTATACTCATCCGTACAGAAGGGTCCCACTGGGGACACCTGAGTGTGCCACCATACAGCTCTCGAAGAACCGAGTGTCGGTGGGGCTGCTGCCGCACCAAGACACAAGACCCAGAGTAACCTAGGAATGAAAAGGGTGCCCTTTTTGGTTTTAAGGGGATTATAAGGGAGCCCCAACCCTAAAAAAGGAAATAAGGGCCTACTCCGGGTCCTAGGACATGTGGGGTGTTAGCTGTGTAGAGGTTTAGGGGTTCAGTGGTTTTAAAGGCGTCTGGGGTCTTAGGGCTCTTAGAGGCTAGCTTAGAGCCACGGATTAAGTTTACCTATACTCTCCAAGCTTGTTCCTCTTTGGTTGCCTCGCTCCATGACCTTCGTTATCTTTCTTTGCGATAAGGTTCTAACCACAAAATTGGCAAACCAAAACAGGAACTCCACATTGGAGAGTAGCGGTTGATGATATAAATCCTGCATTGCCCATAATCAGGAATAACTCCCTATAGGGCCCTTTAAGGTAATGCAGGATTTATATATCATCAACAGAATGACTGTGCGCGGTCCACGATCCCTGCCGTGGGCTCAGATGCCTGAGAAGGGAGGGGCTTGTCAAGGCACCGGCCAGCCTTGCTGCGCTACATCGAATGGAACCTGATGTACCTTAAGAACCCAAAACCCACTATTCTGTAGGTTCTTATTATAAACCCTAATATGGGATTTATAGGGACCCTACAAAAAAGTAGGTTTTGGGTTCTTAAGGTAGGGGCCTTAATAATTAGAATAGGGTTTTGTTCTCCTCTATAGTATAAGTATAATAAGGAAACCTGCGGAATATTACTGGTAATTGTCGAGGCTTCTATATTACCCTAAACCCTAAACCCCAAACCCTAAACCTGAACCCTAAACCCTAAACCCTAAACCCTATGAACCCTAAACTCTCTAAAGGCCCTACACCCTGAACAACCGGGTCGAAAGTTGAGGGGTTTCGGGTTTAGGGTTCAGGGCTCTACGGCCGATACCCTAAACCCTAGGTTTAGGGTTTAGGGTTTAGGGTACAGGGTTTAGGGTTTAGGGGTTAGGGTTTAGGGGTTGAGGGTTTAGGGTTTAGGAGTAGGGGTTTAGGGTTCAGGGTTCTACCACACCGAAACCCTAAACCCTACATTGAATACTCGACTCCCGTCCCTCGCAGGCAGGTCGGCAAAACTCAAGATGCGAGGGACCCTGATGGACCCTCTGCATCATCTGTTTCACCTCTGCTACAGGGGCCTTCACAATTAGAAGAGGGCCGTGGCGTATATCATCGTATAGTTATTTTCATTTGAATAGGAATATTTGCAATTCGCATTCCGACTCCGATCTTACATGTTGTAGGACCAGCTGTTGGTCAGAGAAAACTAAGCTTCCTACACGAAAACTTCCGTCAGAGAAGACGAAGCTTCCTGCACGAAAACTTTCCACTGGCAGTGGGTCGTGGGACGACTCCCATCGGCAGCGGCCAAGGGTAGCCGGGGACGCAGGAGGTCGACAGGCTACACAGCGAAACTTCCACGCCCATTGCCAGAAGGCGACCACATTTTTGTTCAAAGGGTCCTCAGTACCTATACACCTAAACCCTAAACCGCAGTAGAATCAGCAGCATGTAGGGCTTCTACATTAAGACTACATACCTAAACCCTAAACCCTATACCCTAAATCCTAATTAACCCTAAACCCTGAACCCTATCTAAACCCTAAACCCTAAACCCGCACTTGGAGGTTCATGGGTAGTTATAAGTGGGATTATAAGTCCCCTAATATGGGTTATAATCATAGTTACCCTACTTATAACCCTACATGAACCTCCAAGTATCCCCCCATAGATAGGGCCCCCAAAAAGCACATAAGCAAAATTAGGATAGGGATATCCCATATAAATCCCCTTATAATGAAGCCCAATAAGGTAGGGATATCCCTATAAAATGCTTATGCTTATGTCCTTTTTGGCTTCCTAAATAGAAGTTCCTGGGACCCTTTCTGGTTCCAGCGGATAAACCCGCTTGCGGCTTGCGGGAGATGTCCGCTGGCACGCAGTGTTCTGCGTTTGGAGGCCCCAAACACGACATAAGCGCCAGCGCTTTAGGGTTTAGGGTTTCAGCATGTTCCCGTGATATCCCTACGTACCTTGTTTTGATATTTTCTTGGGAAATCGTCATCCCAAGGTGCTGCTTGTGCGCTTGTGTTGGGCCCTACGGGAACGATCACCTATGAAACTTCACGTCAAGGAACATGGGACTTGGTGGCAAGTAAGGTTATACAGTGCCTGTTACTATTTGTTAAAGGTGCTTGGAAGCATTGTAGTTACTACCACTATTTTTTATTTAAGTACTTGGTAGTATTGTAGTTACCTCATGTTTGCAACCCTTTACTATGTCCCATGATCCTTGTAATAATGATGAAACTCGACTGGCTATTCCGAGATACAGCATCTCGGTCACTGCCATAGCAATTTAAGCATGCATGCCCCGAGCCTGTCCGAAATCGGATGTTGACGGCTTGCGAATGCAAGTCTCGAGCACGACAAGATGCTTTGAACAGGAACATGGATGTGAACTTCTGACGGCTCGGCTGCTGTGCAGCATCTTTTGGCAAAAAACAGAATACTAGAGCGCTAGCGGCTTGCCTTTCAGGAAGGATTCAAGCTCAAGCGGATCCTAGTTCATGGTTGGGGTAGTATCAAAAACTTAAATTTCTATTCCTTATTGGGTTTAAGTACCCTTAAAAATGTAAAATGTTACTCAACTATGACAAAGGATCAGGCCAATCTTCTGAACTGCCGACTGTCGGCTGGCCATGGACTCCATCTGCAGCAAGCGAGCCACTGGCCTCGAAGGGTTCAAGGGCTCAGGGGTTTGTTAAGGGCCTAGGGTTAAGGGCTTAGTTTAGGGCCCCAAAAAACCACATACGCAAAACTTAGGATCCGGATATCCCATATAAATCCCCTTATAACGAAGCCCAATAAGGTAGGGATCCCTATAAAAAGTTTATGCTTATGTGCTTTTTGGGTCCCTAATAATTTGGCGTAGGGTTACTGGCCTCGACGTCTGCGTGTGTCTCCAGGTAGCTTGTCAGCAGAGTGCGTGCAAAAGGGCTCTTACGAGCGAAGCGCTGCATCTCGTCATGAGCTCTGTCTGGTGAACTCTCCCGACATTGCATGATATTCAGCATTGTCCTCTTGAGCCTCATGCGAATTTGCTTCCCTGGCCTCTGTGGGCGAATTTCGAAGATCGGCGTGTGAATGTGACAGAATGGACAAGCGCGCCTCTGACAGCCTGCAGAAAGCGCAAAGAATATACAAGGATCACAAGACCCCAAGTCGTGCGGCATCGAAGAACGCTCATGTTCTGTGGCATGCTCAGACTGACTCCGACCGTCTTCCACAGGGCCTGCTTTGTCCGATGACGACATTCAGCCCCACAGCTTCTACCTAACCGCTAGGGCTGGAACTGGAACTGAGCCGTCGCGGCAGCAAAGACGACTTGCTGCGGTTTCTCGCAGAGTGCCTACAGAAACAGTAAAATCGACACGAATGCCGTCTGCAAGCAGAATTCCAGGCTCACGCCGTTGGAGCAAGTTGCATGTCTAACAGAGTCTAACACCAAGTCTTGCGGTATGCCTTTGCTCAGATAAGCAACGGGCTGATGGCTCCAGGGTGGTTGTTGGAGACTTGAATCGAAACTCTGCATGTCGGCACTCCCTTACAAAAAAGCAGATACAAGAGAACATGACAAACGTTTGAGTGTGCCAACTCCGGTTCTAAATCTAGGAAATCTAGGAAACAGTCGTAAACCGGATGGGGCACCAGCACCTCCAGCAGCCCCTCAACCTAGACCCAGGAGCAACCTAGGAATGAAAAGGGTGCCCTTTTTGTTCTCAAAGGGATTATAAGGGAGCCCCGACCCCCAAAAAAGGAAATAAGGGCCTACTCCGGGTCCTAGACACTAAACCCTGATTAATCAAACCCGCTGCCACTTGAATCCAAGGTTCTACGATGAGCTCATAGCGGGTTTCACAAGCCTATAAAATTAAACACCGACATCATGAAGTTAGTGCCACATGCTCAGAGGCCGTTTCTTAGAGACCGAAAACCTACAGACCATGAATGCTAACCACACCTACAAGTCTCTCACGTAGGGCCGGTATATTACACTATGTTTACAAAAAGGAACCCCCAGAACCCTGTTCTAAATATTAAGGCCCCTGCAAAACCCAACCCTAAACCCTAAACCCCAAAACCCTCCAAAATAGTGTAGGTAATTATTAAAGCCCCTAAACCCTAAAGCCTAAACCTACATTACTAACCCGCCTGCAGGGACGCTTTCTCCAACGGATCGCCCACCACCTGGAGCTATCAATTACTAGGGTCTAGGGTTTAAGGTTTAGGGTTTAGGGCTACTAGTACAACGAAGATTAATACTTCTTATATTAACAATAGTATTGGTATCAATATATGTATCAGTATTTATATTGGTATTAATATTTC